GGCAGGTCAGATGGTCTGGTATTCCCATCCCTTTAAGAATTTTCTGCAGTTTATTGTGATCCACACAGTCAAAGGCTTCAGCATAGTCAATAAAGAAGAAACAGATGTTTTTCTGGAACTCTCTTGCTTTTTGATGATCCAGTGGATGTTGGCTATTTGATCTCTGGTTCCTCTGCCTTATCTAAAACCAGCTTGAACATCTGGAAGTTCACAGTTCATGTATTGCTGAAGCCTGACTTGGAGAATTTTGAGCATTATTTTACTAGGGTGTGAGATGAGTGTAATTGTGTGGCAGTTTGGGCATTCTTTGGCATTGTCTTTCTTTGGGATTGTAATGAAAACTGACCTTTTCGAGTCCTGTGGCCATCGCTAAGTTTCCAAAATTTGCTGACGTATTGAGTGCAACACTTTCACAGCATCATCTTTCAGGATTTGAAATAGCTCAACTGGAATTCCATCACCTCCACTAGGTTTGTTTGAAGTGATGCTTCCTAAGGCCCACTTGACTTCACATTCCAGGATGTCTGGCTCTAGGTGAGTGATCGCACCAAAGTGATCATCTGGGTCATGAAGATCTTTTTTGTACAGTTCTTCTGTGTATTCTTGACACCTCTTCTTAATATCTTATGTTTCTGTTAGGTCCATACCATTTCTGTCCTTTATTGAGCCCATCTTTGCATGAAATGTTCCCTTGGTATCTCAAATTTTCTTGAAGAGATATCTAGTCTTTCCCATTCTGTTGTTTTCCTCTATTTCTTTGCATTGATCACTAAGGAAGGCTTTCTTATCTCTCCTTGCTATTCTTTGGAACTCTGCATTCAAATGGGAATATCTTTCCTTTTCTTCTTTGCTTTTCACTTCTCTTCTTTTCTCAGCTATTTGTAAGGCCTCCTCGGACAGCCATTTTGCCTTTTTGAATTTCTTCTTCTTGGGGATGGTCTTGATCCTTTTCTCCTGTACAGTGTCACGAACCTCTGTCCATAGTTCATCAGGCACTCTATCAGATCTAGTCCCTTAAATCTATTTCTCACTTCCACTGTATAATCGTAAGGGATTAGGTCATACCTGAATGGTCTAGTGGTTTTCTCTACTTTCTTCAATTTAGGTCTGAATTTGGCAATAAGGAGTTCATGATCTGAGCCATAGTCAGATGGCTATGACTGCCCCAGTCTTGTTTTTGTTGACTGAATAGAGCTTTTCCATCTTTGGCTGCAAAGAATATAATCAATCTGATTTCATGTTGGCCATCTGGTGATGTCCATGTATAGAGTCTTCTCTTGTGTGCTTGGAAGAGGGTGTTTGCTATGACCAGTGTGTTCTCTTGGCAAAACTCTATTAGCCTTTGCCCTGCTTCATTCTGTACTCCAAGGCCAAATTTGCCTGTTACTCCAGGTGTTCCTTGACTTCTTACTTTTGCATTCCAGTCCCCTATAATGAAATGGACATCTTTTTTGGGTGTTAGTTCTAAAAGGTCTTGGAGGTCTTCATAGAACCATTCAACTTCAGCTTCTTCAGGATTACTGGTTGGGGCATAGACTTGGATTACCGTGATATTGAATGGTTTGCCTTAGAAATGAACAGAGATCATTCTGTCGTTTTTGAGACTGCACCTAAGTACTGTATTTCAGACTCTTTCATTGACTATGATGGCTACTCCATTTCTTCTAAGGGATTCTTGCCCACAGTAGTAGATATAATGATCATCTGAGTTAAATTCACCCATTCCAGTCCATTTGAGTTCACTGATTCCTAAAATGTCGACGTTCACTCTTGCCATCTCCTGTTTGACCACCTCCAATTTACCTTGATTCATGGGTCTAACATTCCAGATTCCTATGCAATATTGCTCTTTATAGCATTGGACCTTGCTTCCATCACCAGTCACATCCACAACTGGGTGTTGTTTTTGCTTTGGCTCCATCTCTTCATTCTTTCTGGAGTTATTCCTCCACTGATCTCCAGTAGCATATTGGGCACCTAACAACCTGGGGAGTTCATCTTTCAGTGTCCTATCTTTTTGCCTTTTCATACTATTCATGGGGTTCTCAAGGCAAGAATACTGAAGTGGTTTGCCATTCCCTTCTCCAGTGGACCACATTTTGTCAGAACTCTCCACCATGATCCTTCTGTCTTGGGTGGCCCTACATGGCATGGCTCATAGTTTCATTGAGTTAGACAAGGCTATGGTCCATATGATTAGATTGGCTAGTTTTCTGTGATTGTGGTTTCCAGTCTGTCTGCCCTCTGATGGAGAAGGATAAGAGGCTATGGAAGGTTCCTGATGGTAGAGACTGACTGAGGGGGAAACTGGGTCTTGTTCTGATGGGCAGGGCCATAGGCCTAGCCATAGAGAATTTGGGCTGTGGGGGTGCCTCCAAATATTTAATTCATAGATTTCTAGAGATAGAATGCATGTCAGACATTAATAGAAACAGACAATGCACCAACCTCCTTGACTGTATGGGTGTATATTCCATGTTCCCCAGAATAGCTATTAGGCAAACACTGGCTGATAAAGATCTCAGCAAGCTTCTACTGGCTTCTTCTATCCCTTTGAGACACCAGCACTGTGGCACAGTTAGCTGAGAAATTCTGAGTAAACTGCAGAAATTGTAGGGAGGCAGAGACATATTTGGAATCTCAGGACCTAAATGGCTGCTTGGGAAAGTTGAGGGGCTCAAGAAGGGTAGTGGTGAGGATAAGATTTTCTAGGAACCAAGTAAAGTAGTGGGGGGCTCCTGATATTTTAAAAATAAAAACTGAGGTGCTCCCTAGAGCTTCCAGTATCAAAAATAATTTTCATGAATTCAAGACACATACAGCGAGGACCCAAGCCAAAGTAGTTTGAGACCCTAGGGATATACCAAATTCCTTTCCATCCTTTCCTGACCCATACTCACCATAATTTAAACAAGTAACCCCAGCCCCTCAATGGACCTAGTCTGTGTCAGAGTACACACCAGCTACACCTCTGTACAGCTCATTGCCACCCCCACTTCCCAGCTTCACCGTGAGGTCTTGACCGGAAAGTCACAGCCAGCCCTCCCCCTGAGTCCCCTATGATCACCTACTTTGAAGTTTGTTCCCCAGCAGTGAACCTCTTCCTGGTAAAATAGTAGTTTTTCCAAGTTTTATTACACACTCCTAAGTCCCCTGCTCTAGGCCTGCTCACTCACATGAATGTTGCCCAGACGTTGCCACTGACCTAAAAGGCCAACAGCCTGTCTTTAACCACAGGGCAGTGCTCAGCAGGTAATCTAGGCAAAAGCCAGAGACCCTACCCTGGCTGCCTTCCCAAGAGCCCTTGAACTGCATCAAAACAGGGAAAATGTAGTCCCGGGGTGAGTGTGGTAGTGACCGTCTGCCCAGATGTTCCACACAGTCAGGAACCCCCTCCACTCAGGCATCAATGCAGCCTGGGGAGTCCTGTGACTGCCTTGTACAGCCATTCACACGCACTCAAACTTTCAAGTGGGGCCTGCACATTAGGACACCAATGGATCACAAGGTCAGGGGCACCAAGAGTCCCAAAACCTCTTTAAGGGCAGCCCAGCGAATCTGCAAAGTAAAACACAAAAGAGTCCTTGATTGAGAGCGGTAGGAGAGGCTCTCCAAGGGCTCAGAGAATCCACAGGTGGATGCCCACAGAATTCAAGGTTTCTATTTACTAAATAATCCCTAGTGCTCCTCAGAGAGCAGCAGAAGTGTGTGTTTGGGGGCGGGGAGAGGAGGGAACCCTTCAGTCCCAGGGCAACACATTCTGAGCTGCGTTTTAAAAAGCCATGTATTCTAAGCTTTCAACTTGCAACAGGTCTAGAGTGGAGCTGTCCTGAGGAGCCACAAGAGGGAGTGAGCCTTGAGGAAGGCATCCCAAGCCCTTCAGCTCGCTCCTGAGAATCCTCATCAAAACGGCTTACGGGCTTCACCGGCGGCTTGCTGAGAAAGCCGGGTGGCTACTTTGACTTCTCTGAGTCCACTGGCAGGCTCAGTGGGAGGAGCGCACAATTCTGCAGTCCTGCAGCCGCGGCTTTGAACAGAGAGAGCTATACCCCTAGCCCTGCTTGTCTTAGGGAAGAAGACCAAGTCAGCACCACCCGTAGGCAGGAGGGGTGGAGGCCGGCTTTCTGTCTAAAGACTAACGAGGCACCCCGTGGATAGCGAAGAGGCGCGAGGCGCCAGGGAGGGCAAGGCTGAGGTTGGAGGCGGTGCAAAGTGAGTCTCAGGGCCCAGTCTGCCAGCCGCCTCACGCCTCTCTGGAGACTGCCTCCCTGCCTGGTTTGGGGTTCAGCTCAGAGGGCACAGAGATCCGCTAGCTCCCTCAGTGTGGCAGAGGACAGCCCTCCCTATTGGGCAGTAACCACTGCGGGCAAAGACGCGCGCACACCCCCCCACTCGCACTCCTTCCCTCCCTTCCTCTCTCTCCAGCAGATACACACGCCTGCCATGTGTTTGACTCTTCGCTCAGTCATCAGGATTCCTAAAGTGTTTTTGACAGAAAACACCTCCACTTCCTGTACAGGAACAGCGGCTGCTGCGGACATCTGAGGTACGGTATTTCTCTCAAAGTCTTCCCAACCTTTCAACTCTCTCCTCTCTCCAAGGCTTCACACTTCACCCCCCCAAAAAACAAAACAAAACAACAACAACAAAACCCTTTCTGCATTATCCCCCCCCCACCCCGTACAGACGCTCAGCGTACTTGAAGCAAACCCGAAAGGTGCGTCTGGATATGTCCCAGAGCAAAAAAGTTCATTCTTTGTGTATGATCAACGAAGGTCCCAGGTCCCACCCCCCGGGATTTCTTGCACCTAGTCTCCACAGCCGAGGCTGCCCAGAGCCAGGCAACCCGCGCCCTAGCAGCGCCAAGGACTAGGCGTAACGGCGATAAGTCCAAGCGGCGCACTATGAGGGGCGCTTCGGACCAGGAGATATGAGATCTGCGGCAGCCGGAACGAACACCCTTGCCTAGAACGCCAGGTGGGGCGCGCGGGGCCGCTCACCTGCTTGGAACTCCACTTGGCGATTTTTCTCTCTTTCCTCCTGCAGCAGCATGGAGTAAAGAATGCCGAAGGAGTTCTGGATGCCGAAGATGGAGCCGTTGCACCAGGTGGCAGCGAAGACCACCATCCAGCCGAAGCCACCTTCGGGGGGCTGGAAGCCACGCGCGGTGCCGCGGGTCTCCACCGTGGGTGTAGGGTCGGGTTCGTGCACCGGTTCAGGCTCAAACTCCAGCTCCGGCAGCGGTGCAGGGTCCGGTAGGGGCTGGGGCTCCGGCTGAGGTTCTGGCTGGGGCTCGGGTGGGGGCACGGGCACCGGCTCCGGCTCCGGCTCGAGGCTACCCACCGGCTCCTGCTGTTCCTGGTCTGCCTCCCGCCAGGGCCCTTTAGCTTCCTCGCTCGCCGGGCTTTGCAGCGCCATCGCGGCCGGGGGACTGTGGCTGCTCGGGCCGGAGGAGCCGCTCTGTGGCTGGTACTTGTTTCTGCTGCTGCTGCTCCAAGCGCTGCTGCTGCTGCCTCCTCCTCCCGGCTCCGCGCCCCAGCTGGCCAGCCTGTCCCGAGACAGACGGTCCCTCGAGCCCTCTACTCCTCCTCCCCCGTCCAACCCCCCTCCTCCTCTCCCCATGTCATCTCTCTCCTCCCCCTCCTCCTCCTCCTCTCCCTCCCCCTCAACCTCTTCCTCCGTCAACAGGCAGCCCTACAGCCTCGCTCTTCTCCCCAGCCCTTCCTCCTCCTCCTCACACTTGCCTACCTCCTCCTCAATTCGCCACTGCCTTCCTCAACTCCCTTTCCGAACTACTGAATCCCGTTCTCCTAGTCCAGAAGCCCAGTAGAGGGATAGTTAAAATGGAAAAACGAGAGCATAAACTATCCTGTTCTCCTTCCCTCTCCTCCCCGCAGGCTCCAAACGAGCATTGATCAACCCAGAATCCCCAGGGAAGACCCCGCCTATCCTTTACTCCCACTCTCTCTCCTTCCTCACAGCTAGCCTGGAACTAGGGTCTCCCCAGGGACCCCAGGACGAGAGATGGCCCCTAAGAACCCCACCCCGCCCTCAGTAGTCCCTATGCTCCCCCCCCGCCTTGGGCTTAAGGGGGACTTGGAGGACACAGCCCAAGCTTCAGACAGACGGTGGGCACAGTCTTCTCGAGCTCAGGAGCTCAGCCCCCACCCACAGTCCTGCGCAACAGCCCCCCCCACCCCAGTCTCTCCCCCTCCGCCCCCGCCCTTCCCGGCAAATCCCTGGCGGGGCACGGATGGGAGGAGGCGGCCCGGCAGCGAGGCCCGCCCCTCCGGGCAGTCAATCAGGGCTTTGTTTGCGCCAACCTGGAGCCCAGAGGAGCCGTAGAGGGCCGGGTCTGGGCCGGGGGCTGGGCCAGGTAGGGAGGGAGGTTCAGTAGCACCGGAGGGGGCCGGGCCCAGGCGGGGCACGAGACGGAGCTCAGTTCTGGCTTCTCCCGGCTCTCTCTCCCGCATTGGAGAAGTAGGAGTTGGGGCCAGGTCGAGCCGCCAGTTTGGGCAAGGGCCGCTCTGCCCCCAACATCCCGGGCTGGTCCCTCGGGTCTCCGCCGCGGCTTTTCGGGCGCTCGAGAACTCGGCCGAGCCGCTAGCTGAGGGATGTCTTCCCAGCACCCACCGCGCCCTTCCGCCCACCTCTGGCATAGAGACACCAGAGTCCCGCTGAAAGTCCGAGACTAAGGCCCTAGCCCAGCGAGGGAAAGGGAGAGTTTGCTCCCTAGAGAGTGAGCGGGTCCGGGTAGGCGGGAGGGGTGATCTGCCCCGCGGGCGGCTGAGCTCCCTGCCGGAGTGCAAGGCTGTTTCCAGCCTCGGCCCTCGGGGCCGGCCCCAGCGATCCCGGGAAGCTCTGCTTCCCCTGAGGGCCCGCGCGTCTAATGCACTAATCATGAATTCGTGGTGTGGTTACCAAGCTACTTCGCTCCCCACCAGCGGGCGGGCAAGCGCCAAGCCCTTTCTACCCAGCATCTCATTAACCTTCTTGTTGGGTGAAAAGACTGCACGGCAGGTGAAAATGCAGCTCAGGGTTGCGCCAGATGCCCAGGAACATAGTCACTAAGCAGCTGAAGGCGGGGTGAGCTGAGCGGGAGGGTAGAGGTGTCCCAGGTAACAGGCCATGCCATGAGAGGAAGAGGCCAAATTCACAAATCATGGGGCCTCCACCAGTCAGCAAAGCAGTCATTGCTAGAGGAGTAGAGCACGTTCCTTATTGCCTGGAGGTGAGTGTTTTTATCACTTGCTTTTCCCAGGCTTGAAGATTGAGGCTTAAGGAAATCAAGGTGTTTATTAGCCTAAAGTTATGGGACAAGTCAAATACAAGCTGAAATTCAAGGCAAAGTCTCGAGCTCCCTGAGCTTCACAACAGGCCGCTGGGGCGGTACTCCCCGGGAGAGGGACAGAGGAAGGAAAGGCAGGATGTGGCTGAGTTATCACAGTAGGCTTCCGGAGGAGGTAGTGGCTTAGATAGCCCTTGAATCTTGAGAAGGATTTTAACAGGCTGGGGATGGAGTTTGGGTGTCCCTACCTAAAAGGGACAAAGTAAAGAGGCATGAAGAATTCTACTCATAGAAAGAGGTAAATGAAAGCTAATCAGGCCAAAAAGTTAATATGTATACTGCATCTCCCAGGAAACGTTTGCATTTTAATAAAAATCCTCAATGCTTCAGTCATGAGGAGTGACGAATCATGGACGTTATGGGCACTGGTGTTTAAGATTTGATTTTTTAGTCAGCAGTCTCACAGTCTCCCAACTATTGCCCTAGTGGAACACCAGCCTTGGCTTCCATTTTCAGGGAACTTGATTAAAATGCTGAAAAAGGTTATTTCCAAACCCAGAACCAGGAATAGACCCTGGAGTCTTGTAGCTCATGTCAGACTCCTGTCTAAATTCTGTTCTCATTTAAATGACTTTTTTTTTTAGATCACTGGAGTGGGGGTTGTGATGACAGTAAGAAGCTCTTGTGAACCTAGGACTATGCTAGCCCTTTACAAAAATGATCTCATATGATCTTCATAACAATACTATAAGATTGAAGTGATTTGTCCCTGTCTCACAAGTGAAGAAGCAAGTGAGGAAGCCTCTTAAGTCAATTTTTTAAGTCTACAAAGCCATCAAGAGGTTAGAACAGGAATCTTAACTCATTTGTATGAGCTTCACATTATGTGCCCCATCCAAAAGACAAAATGATGTAGCCACCATCTTACCATTCTCGAAACACATGCTGTGCCTACCATTTATTCCCTCTTTAGAAAGTATTTTATAATGGTAGAGCGCTGGAATCTGGAGACCTGGATTCTAATCATGATTCTATCATTGTAAACTTGTGTAATCCTAAGCAAGTTGTTTTCCCTTTCTGAGCTTCAGTTTCTTTATCTGCAAAATGGAGTTAATACCCACATCACAAAGTTGTTAAATAGCATACTGAGAAGTATTAGGTTTTATTTTGGATATACAAGAGAGCCAGTGAAGATTATTGAGTAGGCAACTAATATCAGATCTGCATTTTAGGGGAAAAATCCATGGTGACAGTGTAAAAAGTTACTGTGACTTGGAAAGATAAGAGGTAAGGAAACCAAGCAATGAGCCAGGTAATAAAAAGTTGATAATACGGCACTGACTAGGAATGAGGACAAAGGGATGGCTCTGTGAACTATTGTTATGGTAAAGTTGACAGAATAGATTTGGATAGTAAGAGAAAAAGAAGAAGCAAAGATGACGCTGACCTTTCCTTCTTACTTGAGTGAAGGAAAGGATGATAGTGTTAGTGAAGATTGGAAGTTAAGAGCCAAATCAGATCTGAAGATGCCTGTGGCTTTCTGTCTCTTCTTCTAAACAATCCTGTCAATTACAACTTTAAAATACAGGTTTTGTTTTCATTTATTTTTATTAGTTGGAGTCTAATTACTTTACAATATTGTAGTGGTTTTTGTCATACATTGACATGAATCAGCCATGGATTTACATGTATTCCCCATCCCGATTCCCCCTCCCACCTCCCTCTCTATCCGATCCCTCTGGGTCTTCCCAGTGCACCAGGCCCGAGCACTTATCTCATGCATCCAACCTGTGCTGGTGATCTGTTTCACCATAGATAATATACATGTTTCGATGCTGTTCTCTTGAAACATCCCACCCTCGCCTTCTCCCACAGAGTCCAAGTTTTAATCATGACACTTCTCTGTTTTAAAAACTTTCATTGATTCTCTCTTTGAGTTAAGTTTAAATTCCTCAACTAGGCATAAAAGTCCTTTATCCTTTGGGACCAGCCCCAATTATTCAGCAAGTGTTTACTAAAAGCCTCTGTGTGTCAGACTATAGTATATACCAAGGACACAAAAGGACCTGCTACTTGTCTCTGAGACATTCATATTCAACCTGTCTAGCTCCACTCTTTAACATTTTCTCCCTTTCCCGTTCTTCCATTCATGGCAGGCCCCAAACACACCAGATTATCCATCATTCCATGACATATGGACACCTGCTCTTCTCTCATCCCTTACCACCCATTCTCCTCACTATCCTCCAGTTGAGATTCTATGCCTTTCATGAATCTCCAGAGTGGGTTCAACAAAATATATAGGAGGGTTAGTCTTAAACTGGGGAGACATGTCTCTTGCCTTTGTCATACCATTCAGTCATTCATTTCACAAATAGTTATTAAGCAAGTAGTATGTGCCAGTCACTAAGTCAAGCCCGGGAACATACAATGGTCCTTGTCCTCTTGAGGAAAAGAAAAGAGAAGGATGTAAAGGATGATACAAGGTTGAGAGTGAGGTGATAGAAGTAGAGTTAAGGTCTCAAGATGAATGAAGTTTTCTCTACAGATTTCTAAATCAGACTTGGTTGACAGACATCATCAATAGGTAGAAATCATTAGAGAGCACCTACTATGTGTTGTTATTGCTGTTATTCAGTCGTGTCTGACTCTGTGACCCCATGAACTGCAGCACACCAGGCTTCCCTGTCCTTCACTATCTCCCAGAGCTTGCTCAAACTCATGTCCATTGAGTCAGTGATGCCATCCAACCATCTCATCCTCTGTCATCCCCTTTTCATTCAATTTGGCTCATGCTCTTGAGAAGTGAGTGTGGCCCCTGTAAACTCTAAATTATTTTTCTTATCCGTCTGTGGATCTTAGAAAACCCCAACAGAGGTCTCTGGTTTACACTGCAAGGGAAAGAATGTATGTACTTCATTTCTGTCTCTAATAGAATACTCCCACAATGGAACCATTCCAATTACTTGTGTCCTTGATTAATCATACAAGTGGTGAAGCAAAGCAGTAGTTCCCTAACCTGGTTACACATTAGAATCACCTAGAGACTTTTGTACAAGTACTGACTCCTGGGTCCCTCTCCATACTTGCTGAATCAAAGCTTCTGGGGGTGGGAGCCAGGAATACATAG